GTTTAAATTATGTTGCCTATTTTATTGTCATCTGGGGTTTGACTATCTGCCTTTACTGGCTTCCAGATATTTTTGTATCAATAAAAAATTTTAGATTATTATAATAAAAATGTGGATGGTAGAGGAAAATCTAAAATATTTTAAACAATGCCAAATATACAGTTGGTTTTCTGTAGACAATTAAGGTCTCAGTGAGTAGTGTGTATATGAATTGTAAAGGACTTAGGGAGAGAAATAAGGGGAAGAAGGTGTTAAAGGAGGAAGATTAGCTAATTGATCACTTGCTATGGTCCAAGCACTGGACTAGGTTCTTTCCACATAGTAATTTACCTAATCAGTTTCATGCTTTAAATATCTATTCAGAGAAATAAAAGGAAAATCAGCTTGGAGTAGGTATGTCCAAAAATTATTTTGAGATGGTCATTGACATTTTACTTGCAAATACATGAATATTTTAGTTTAGATTTTAGATGAGAGAAGTCGTGCCAGATGGAACCTTAAAAACAGCAAAGTCCAGAGAGCTTCATTGGCTTTCTCAAAATTACAGTCTCTTGAACCAATAACCCAGCCTAGCATTATTCATATATCTAGATATCAGGCTATCACTTATGTTCTGTTAACTGCTCTACATATTGCTTATGAATATGGATGCATTCAATATGAATTACTGAGAGGGAGAGCACTTCGGATAGTAGTGGAGCTTACTCATTTGCAAAATGCTACAAAATCTCTAGATGAGAGATATAAAGAAACGCACACACACACACACACACACACACACACACACCCAAAAAAGTCTTAACCAATGTTTACAATACAAAGGAGTGCAGTTAGGGAGAAAATAAACTATTTTCTGGTATAGAGCTTGTAATAAATAATGTGTCCTTCACAGTGCTTGCACTGTAAGTTCACCTTAAATACTCATTGTCTTTCCTATTAGAAACAGTTGGTATGTTGACATTTGAATAGAATGTTTACATGTTGCAAATCCTTGGGTCTTGGCATGCTGCAAGACTGGGAGGACAAAAAATGCCTTCCTTTGCATCCAGCAGCACACTGACTGATGAAAAATGTAAAACATCATCTCGACCTGACACCAATCAGCTGGAACTGTTATCACATTAAAAATACTGTTCATAAATACAATGTTTTTATTCATTCAACGGTATTTGTTGAGATCCTCCTCTATGTTAGGCACTGTCTTATCCTTTAGATTCTGAAGTTTATTATATTTAGCAGCTTGATTATAATTAATTTGTTAAGAAGTTTAAACGATATAGTGTTCAAGGGAATTCAAAGATATATTTAAGCACAAAGCATAATGTAAGAATTTAAACTTGTTTTAGTAATTTCAGAGTTTTAATTTTGTCTTAATTCATACGAAGACATTTTCTAGGTGATTATCTTAAGACTCATGGAATTTAATTTGAAAATAGGCTAAACAAAAAGATTTCAATAATATTGTTTCTTATTCTTTCCATATTTAACTTCCAGTTTGAGGCAAAACTTTAAAGGCTCAGCAAATAGTTCCTAAATAGTCTGTCACTTTAAACCTCAAATACTCTGAGCTTTCTAAACCCTCATAATAGAAAACATTTCAGGACATTCTAGGACTATCAGGATTTATTCTGTAAATATATAAAAATGTAAGCTGATATTGATTTTCCACTAAGATGATTTTTATCAGTTTCTACTTCATATTTTCAAATTTCTGGCTGACATAAAATATGATGGCCATGTCTTTTTTTTTTTCAGAGTGTAATACTGCTCGATATAGAGAGTTCATTATATATTCTTACTAGTAAGGCCTATAAAAATTAATATATGCTTTTACTAGTTGGGCCTACAATAATTAATATTTAAATAATCATAACATTGAAGGTAATAGATTTTTGATATTTTGAAATACAACTTTTTAAATGGTAGATTCTTCTTTTATGTCCACAATTTATTCCCTGGCATAACTGCTTTTATAATCAGCAGCAGCAAGCCAATTTTATCAAATCCATATCATTTACCATGAGATATCCTTAAAAAGAATTTTGCTGTCTACAGGATTTACTGAAACAGTGGCTGAGGACCATACATCATCTTAAGGATTGCATTTCACTTAAAATGTAATGACAGCCCATGTCTTTTTGCTGAAGCTCAACTCCTAAAATATTTAAACCAGAAGGAATGCTAACAAGCTCAATGTTTTATTTACTAGACTTTTTCAAAAGTCAAAGTACTTGCACATAGAGTTTATCATTCTAAAGGCCCTGATAATACCATCTAGACATTTACATTTTTTAGGAATTGAGACATACTTCTATGATAAAGTGAAAATAATATGAAAATGAGCATAGGATTAAGAAATACAGGCCCTTCAATTCTAACCATGGCTATGTCACTATCTGTGGTGTGTGTATGTGTGCATTTTTAAATAATATATTTTTATTGAAGGGAGAGGGAGAGAGAGATAGAAACATCAATGATGAGAAAGAAACATCGATCAGCTGCCTCTTGTATGCCCCACACTGGGACCGGGAATCGAGCCCACAACCCGAGCATATGCCCCAACCTCAGGAATAGAACCATGACCTCCTGGCTCATAGGTCGAAGCTCAACCACTGAGCCACACGTGCTGGGCATGTGTGTGCATACGTCTTGAATAAATATTAAGTGTATCTAGTTAACACATAAGTAGAATAAAGGGATTACTTTGTAAACATGCTATAATCCCATCCAGCCCTAAAACTCACAGATCAATGGGTGTGAACTGAAGGGTCCAATTGACTCATTTATTTTGGCACTTCAAATTCAGAAAGCTTGTTCTCACACTTGGTAATGGATTTTCAAAATAGAGGTGTTCTAATTTATCAATTAGTATTATTGCCTTGGCTTGGGTCATACTATCAGCATGTGATTAGAGTCACAATCTAAGAATGAACCCAAATTCATGGTTGACAATATAGGAAATGTGCTCAGGTTTCTCAGTTTATTCAAGTCATGGGCCTCTACCACCGCAAATGTGGCTTGTCATGATTTTTCAGCTTTTGAAGAAAGTAGGTACCTTCTAAACTTGCTTGTAATAAATCCTATTTCTCTCCCTGTACTTTTCATAGGTCAAAAAGATAACAAAGTAAATGTAAATGAATGACCATGATTGTTTTAACATGCTAAAATAAAAGCGGGTGGAAATCTTTCCTTATTGAGGAGGGCAGCCATACAGACACACTATTTATTGAGCCAGTGTGGTTAGAAGAGATTCTGTGGAGGAAATCTCCACTGGGTCACACGAGGAAACACACTTGCAGCTCAGAAACAATTGGGGAAATTCGCTTTCCTATTTTCATGAAATCAGCAGTGATCCACATAAACACCGTTGAGAATCTGAGGAAGGTTTTCTGTCTCTCTCCACTTAATTATAAGCTACTTCAAGACAGTGATAGTTCCTTGTTCATCTTTATCCCTGCTGCGGCATTGCCTGACACAGCATGCCTGTTCAATCGTGGGTAAAGACATTATTCTGAGGATCAAACAATCCTCCATCAACACAGGACTCTTCCTCTACTCAAATTCTTCTAGTGCTCTAGAGAGCTCCCTCCCTCCCATGGCAGTCCTATTAGGAACAGTTGGCGCCTCCTTCTTACTGAATTGAAATTTGCCTCTCTCTCTTGTATTTGATGTAGAAGATGGTGGATTTGAGTTGTACGGTACTGATGCTGCATGTAATAGGACTATTAGAATTAGTCACAAATAGACTCAAATAGGTCTCATCAGAACATTCTAATTCTTTTGAGTTTTTGCCATGAATGGAATAAAGTTCTTTTGGGAACTACTTTTCTTGAAGATTCCTTAACATCCCAACTTTTCTCACCTGCTGTTCTATGCTTATATCTGGCCCTTAACCTAAGGGAGGAGAAATGCTGTGCAGCAACTAAGTTCACAAGTGAATTCTCCAAAAACTTAGTGTAATGACAAACTTATTTTGGTTTGGTAAAGCCCCAAGGGCCTTACCATGTGCTATAGTATAAACAATTACTGAAGAGAAATGTACAACATCATCACCAGTGGGTACCTCTAGGCTAAACTGTCATGTCATTGAAACTAATAAAATTTTCCCATGATGTTCAATGCCATTTATTTATTCATTCAACAAATATGCATTGAGATCTTATAAAACCTCATTTTATTATGTTTCACATCTTATATTTAACTCCTTGATGTTAATTTTATTTAAGTTCTTTTAGATAATAGGACAAAAGTTTTGCAAATGTTATGTTTATTATTTGTCTATATGCTAAAATAAACTTTTAAATAGTGGTTTAGAAAAAAATATTTTAAGCTGGTATGTTATTAAAATTGTACAATTATGTGCCATTTATAAATGTGATGCAATCTATACATATCCTTTTGTTATATGAAGAAATTATAATAATGTATTATGTATTATCAGGATAGAAAAGAGAACTGTCTTAGATTTTCTTGTGTTATTAGGATTATTTCCTAGATACTAAAAATCCCCCAAAATACATATTTAAAAATACTTCAATAATTTAACTTAAGATCATGAGAATAGTAGCTGCATTTGCAAATCAGCTTAATGAAAGTATATGGGAAACCTAATAGTTTTCTGAATAGAACAGTTCTGCTTCACTATGTTTCTTCTTCACTACATGAATATTTCTGCCTTCACAAACATGTAAACAGGTAAAAATAGATCAAATAGAAACAGTTACACACTTTGTTCAACTCAGAAGTCAGAGAGGTTAGAATTCAATTACAAATACTTTCAGTTGTTACATTACGCAAACTTGGAACTAGAGATTATAATATTTAGTGAAAATATTTCATGTTTTAAGATGTACATTTTCATTTCCCAAATAGATTAAACAGATGATCAATATACAAACAGTAATTGTACCACAAACTTACATTACAGACAACTACAAAAAATGTGAAAAAACAATGTTTATAAATGATAGTGAAGAATAAATTATTTTCAATGCCCATAATTAGGTATATACAGGATAATTTAAATCCAAATGGAGTGATTGCTAATGCTGAACTCTTAAAAATCTTCATCAAAATATACTATACCCGAGAGTGATCAAAATAAATTGTGACAGAAAAGGAGAATGTCTCATCTCTCTTTTCATTCTCTAAACTTGTATGATATTTCATCGAAAGACTTTGCCAAGTGTGCAAATGTTGGAAAACTCTAATGCCAAAACCATTTCTCTAAATTACCAACAGACTTATATTCTTGATGCCTTTTCACATGATCACAAGCCAAGCATGCGTGTGATTCCCAAAACCGTGGAAGATTTACTGTGAAATCTTTCCTCCAGTTAAAGTAACTAAGGTACAACTTATTGTTTTTGTCAACTTCCTTCAGATACTTTGCTAGATCACTTGGAGAGTTGTAATCTTCCACATGAATGAATGAGTCTGCTGGAATGTAATTTTCATAGTTTTCCCTAGATGGCCCCAGGACAATAGGTACGGAGCCAGCCAGAAGAGCATTGTAGAGCTTTTCTGTGATGTAATCTTTGTGGATTGAGTTTTCGAAGGAAAGGTAAAATTTACAAGTAGATATGGTAGGAATCAAATTTTTATTATTCACATACTCTCCAAATGCTTGCCCATAGGTATGGATTTCAATGCTTTTGCTTAGCTCGTTGTAATACTTGACCCTGGCGTGCTCAGGGTTCCAGTTACTTACAACCCAGCACACTAACTTCTCTTTGCTTGGCACTTCAAACACGAAGGGGTTTGTGCTCACCGTCAATACGCCATAAGGCACTTGGATGTCTGAGTCGCGGCGGTAAGTCAGAGTGAGATTGAATAGGTGCTCGATGCCATTCTTCTGGGGCGTGTGAGTTGGTGATTCCAAATTCATCCAAATCCATTTCTGGAAGGGTGGCCTGGCCTGCTGAGGTAAATTCGTCAGATCCCAGCTGATGTCTCGGTGATGGATCAGAACCGCGTGAGATTTGTTGTAGAGAGAACGGTCTGTTGTGAGATGGCATCCTTGGATGTTGAACATTGCTTGGCAGGAGGTAAGGTCAAAGGTCTGCCCAAACGGCCACACCCAAATCAGAATAGTAGTTTCATTCACAGGATCAGTTTTGGTGGTGAAGAAATTTTTCATTTTCAGCACTGAGCTGGTTGACTCCATTGGGCTGAAGACCCAGCTGTTGGTGGGCTTGATGTAAATGAGAAGACATGCCATAAAGAAGCCCAGAATAAAGCAGACAATTAAAAATGGGCGGAGAATTCCTTTGGATGTTGATGTCATATTTTTTTCTATGAAACAGAAAGAGAAAGAGGGGTAGGTAGGGGTAGGGATGAAGAATTAATCATAAATATAACTCGACACAGACATGTTGTAAATCCTAAAATACATTTAATCACAGAATCAACTGAATTTTCCTTTTTAGTGTTATCAAACCACTGAAAGGAAGTTTCCCCTAAGTGTTACAAATGAGTCAGAATTTGGTAAACATGTACCAGCTGTCTTCAAGCCAGTTACAGTTTATTTTCTCAATGTCACCCTTACCTGCTATATTTTTATTTGCTTGCTGAACACTGAATGACAGACTGTCATCACAAAAGCTTTGGCTAAAAGTTTTAAGATTTTGAAACTAGACCAGACTTGTGAAAATTTCCCAGTTGATATAATCATTCATTTGCTAGGGTACTTTTTGAGATTGCAATATAACTTTGTAGTTCAGATGAAATTCAGTAAAAAATAAAAAACAACTTTTAAATGGAAAAAGTTATGTTTTTGTATTTTTTTGATATAAGTTTATATTCACTGTTAAAAATGGCAACTCTTAATCTGGTATCTGTTTTATTTTTGTTTTAATTTTGTTTTTGTTTAATAAGTGCACTAATGCAGACATTGAATAAATAAAAACCCCTTATATTTAATTTTAAAAAATTTTTTCTTACTCTTTTTATTGTTTGCATTTAATAATTTATTACTATACCCAATATCTACTAGGATGTGATAATCAAATGCCCTGTTGACTATCACAAATGTATAGATTTTCACAGTTTTCAGGAAATTAATTAACAAACTGGTCACTCAACATAAGCATTCCCACTTACGCGGTATGGGCCATTCAAAATAGTTTTTTGTAGCATTAAAATGATATTAGTATTATAGAGGGGCCTAAACAAAATAAGCCAGTCAGAGAAAGACAAGTATCACATGACGTCACTTATATGTGGAGTCTAATGAACAAAATAAATTGATGAACAAAAAAGACCCAGAGACATTGATGCAAGCAACAGACTGATGTATTTCAGAGGGAAGATAGGGGCACGGAAGGAGATTAACCAATGAACTTATATGCATATATGCATAGTCTATGGAGATCCCAGTGGGTCTGAAAGATTGTTGAATTGGAGGATTAGAAGAAGGAAACCAAAAGAAGAAGAGGTACTGAACAGAGTGGGATATATGGAATTGAGATTCAGGGGTCTACAGTTATCAATAATGATAAGGTGATTGCCTGTTTCCCAAGTCCCAGATCTTTCTCCAGGTACTTGGTATGTATTCACCCATATGACGTATTTGATATCAACAAGCATGAGAAAACATCACAACACTGAGAAAATCCAGAATTAT